AATATTCGCTTAAAAAATCTGAAACTATAAAAGATCAACAGTGCTATTAAGTAGTCACATTCTACTATGCAACGTATCCCGAAATCTTCCGATCCAACCACCCTTTATTTTTTGCAGAGTAACTAGAGTAATAATAATACAATAGTTAGGTTTCTTACACTTACACATTTCATTCGCTGTAGAGCCGTAAGTATAAACCGTGTCGTAGGGTAACTCCTTGACCGCATCTGAGTAAGCTTTTGCCACTTCTGTCAAATCATTATGATTTTCAGGAAGCTCACTTGTCCAGCCATAAGGAGAGAGCAGCACTTGACTATACGAATGAAAGGCGAGCATAATATTTAGACGTTCCTTAATGCTAGTAACATAATCGGCGAGCGCCTTAACCTCGGGTTCGGAAAAAGGCTCCGGACCGCCATAGGTCTCATCGCAAGGATTCGAGGACGCACCGTTGCTTTCCATCCAATGAGAATTATAGTTACGATTCGGATCAGCACCAATACACGCTGAGCCCTCCACTGGTTGGCGTGTCTTACGCCACATGCGATTCTGCGAAAAGAAATACAAATAGTAATTAGTTAAGCGGAAATTTCAATTATTTCAATTTAATTAATTTTGTAACAAAACTAAATACCGTTTCGTGCGTGTACGTAAAACCATCCACATTTAAGACTGGCACAATATACCAGTCGTGATTCTCAGCTAAACTACGTACTTCCTCGTCGGTGGAAGACAGCAGTTCATTGATTAACCAAGTAGCTGTCGCTGAGGTGATCCATTCGCGCGCATGTATGTTCGCTTCGATGAAGATACCAGGATTACCCTCCTTGTAAGAGATCTTAATGCCGCGTATCTTGCGTCCTTCATAGGATGTGCCAATATTTATTTCAGTCGTAACTGCGGGGTATTTCGCCAGTATTTCGTCGAGGAATACTTCAATTGCTGATAAGGGATAATAGCGTGTCCAGCCGAAGGTGCTATCGTCTGTAGATTTTGCGGGTTGTTCACCATCGATAAGACTTGGGTTTAGAGAGAGATATTATTTTATTAAAAACGTTGTTTTTGGCCTTATCTGCATTAAGTTTCCCCTTTGTACTTACCTCTGCACATTGGAGACCATAACTTCCAAAGGCAGGCTATAGGCGCGCGTATAGTTCTGTAGATGTATGAGTTTTTGTGGACTGACCATAATATGCACCTCTTTATTGCTGCTGTGCCATAGATTAAACTGGAATTTATAGTTGATTATCAGTGACAGGAAATTGCTATACGAAAGCGGTTTCTCTGATAAACCACGAATAGTTAAGGTCCCGAACTCGCTCATTTATATGTAGCGGAAAATACATTGAAACCATTAATTTGTGTATGAAACACAAGATCACTGTACCGCAAAGGAATATGTACTAACTATAAGCTCAAAATTGGGAGAGAAATCGATGGAGTTATGAATGTTTGTGCACACGATACCAATTGATGGTATTGGCGGAATTTAATTACGGCTACTTCTCATGTAAAGGTTTTTGTGAGGATTTCAATAACTGGTATAAGGTATAACAGTAATTACTGCAGTGAAATCGCCCAAGATTGACTTAAAGAGCAATTCTTTACAAAAAACGCGAATCTTTAAAAAAATTTGGCAAATGGGCCTGGCCTTCTTTTGATGAAACTAGCGAATACCCAGCAGTTTTTACAGTGGCGAGTGAACTCTCATGCGGCAGTGGACTACAGGTTTTCCGTACAAAAATTTAAAGTTAACTACCGAATTTTAGTTATTCCCCCAGTGTAAAAACGGCACTTAAAAGTATTTTCGTGTTGTTTGATACCCGTATAGTAATATTTCATTTATTTTATCAATTTAATTGAACACAATTTTTCAAACATATGGCAACCCTCCTCAAAAATATTTTCGAAAGTAAACTTTCCTAAACCTGTTTAGTTGGATGCCCATATTGTAATATTTTATTTATTTTATCAATTAAATCGAATTAAAATTTTCAAACAGGTGGCAACTTTCCCTAAAGTTATTTTGAGCTGTAAGCTTTCTTAAGCCCCGTTCTTTTGACGGCCATATTGCAATATTTCCTTTACCTTATCAATTTACTTAAACTGAACATTTCAAATAGGTGGCAACTCTCTAATTTTTTCCTTTCTATAAAATCAATTTGGGAATCGCCAAATTGCGAAAATAGTTTTTGTTTTCTTAGCCTTTTTTCTGTAGTGTCGTAAAGAATAAAACCATGCTACAAGCGGTTTTTGGTATAAGAAATTTATTTTTGGACTCCTCTTTTTTCTTAAACATTCGCCAAAGTACGAAATAGTGAAAGTTTTCACATTTTCTTATAAGTTAAAATAAAACTTGTATTTAATATTTTTCCTACAACTGAAATTCATTGCAGATTTCCATTTACATTAAAATTTTAATTGAATTAAAACAAAAAAGTATCTGGTATTTTTTTTAATATTCATAACAGTTTTCTAGATAAGAATTTTTTGTAAGTTTTTTATTAAAATTGGCTTATACTTTAAGAAATACCATATAAATCTAAATGTGAAAATTGTACGAAAATTTTTGTAGGAAAATTAGAAGAATTCTGCAAAACTTCATGAAAAATTGCAAACTTTTTAATAGGAGTTAAAAAATAAATCGAGTATGCATAAAGCCCATAAAGCCCATTAAACTTTGGTATAATAATGTGAAATTTTTTTAGAAAGTCTCAATTTTGTGAGTGGCTAATTATTTTAATAAAAATTTTAATTAAAATGGAGATATGTAAGAAATGTTGTTTCATGTATTTTGTATAGAATTTTAGTTGTGACAAAAAAACAAGACCCAAATTTGCTTATGTAGAATTACACATACATACAAAGAACAAAGTTTTGAACTTTTGTAGCCGGGAAATTTTGTAACCAAAAATATCACCACATCTTGTAACCGGAATTCTAGGTACCCTGGTAGCGTTGGAATTTATTCAGCTATAAAGCTTTGTAGAAACTCTTATCTCTGCTTAAAATTAAATTTTTTTAATTAATATGAATTTTTTTTT